TTTCACATTCCTTATTCAGTTTTTTATTCATGTCCTTGAGTTCCCTGAGCTTGTTTAGAATTGCTATTTAGAAACCATTGTCTGTCCGTCCATTAGACTGTCCTCGGGAAACATGGTAGGTTAATTTCTGTAGTAGACATATTACTTTGATTATTCATGGTGTTTGTATTTTTTATGAGGCCTAGGCACCTGGTCTTGTGTGGTCTGCGTGGCACCTACTCTTGGTATGAGTAAGTGATCTCGTCCTTGGCGAATGTTTGTTTGTGACTTTGGTTGCTGTTTCTCCAGCTTGTCAGGGCTTCATGTTCAGTTTGGGGGCCACTTTCTGTTGCCGTGCCAATGAGGTGAAAGCGGGGGTCTCTGTTCACCTTGAGACAGGTGCAGCTTTTGAGCTGAAATTTCAATATTGACTCCACATGGCCCTGGATCACCAGGGTGCTGCTGGCTGGAGGCTGTGAGGTGAACAGGTTGGCTGATAAGTTAGGCTCAGGGAGCTTAGAGGTTTGGGGCACACAGAGCTGATGTGATGGGGTGCAGGGAAATCTCAGGACCACAGGTCTGAGAGTGGAGATGGTGGAGGGAGCACATCCCACCAAGTCTGGAGGAGTGTGCAGATCTGGGGTGGGAAATGATCCCCGTGACCAAAGGAAGTCTGAGAGCTAAGATGGTGGGGTGCCAGGGTGTCTCAGGAATGGGAGCTCAGGACCGCAGGGCTGGGGAGGGGAAGGATCAGGTTTTCCATTCTTAAATAAGGAGGACATGTGACGCAACACATTTACCTCCTTGATTACACTTAAGCTAGTCTTAGCTGAAAACTATGCTGTTTGAAAACAAGGTAGACTTGTTTCTGCTTTGACAGTGACACGTGCTTTGTGTGACGTTAGGAAGTATGTTTTATATAGTGACACGTGCTTTGTGTGATGTTAGGAAGCATGTTTTATACCGTGACACGTGCTTTGTGTGACGTTAGGAAGCATGTTTTCTACAGTGACACGATACCGTGACACGTGCTTTGTGTGATGTTAGGAAGCATGTTTTCTACAGTGACACGTGCTTTGTGTGATGTTAGGAAGCATGTTTTATACAGTGACACGTGCTTTGTGTGACGTTAGGAAGTATGTTTTATACAGTGACACGTGCTTTGTGTGACGTTAGGGTTATGTTTTATACAGTGACACGTGCTTTGTGTGACGTTAGGAAGTATGTTTTATACAGTGACATGTGCTTTGTGTGACGTTAGGAAGTATGTTTTATACCGTGACACGTGCTTTGTGTGACGTTAGGAAGTATGTTTTATACAGTGACACGTGCTTTGTGTGATGTTTAGGAAGCATGTTGTATACAGTGACACGTGCTTTGTGTGACATTAGGAAGCATGTTTTATACTGTGACACGTGCTTTGGGCTGACTTTGCTATATTCATTGGCAATGCTAGAACTCCAGGGACTAACAGTGGAAAATCAGGATTTTCAAATAGTTTATCATTTATTATTTGTTCCCATTTTTCACTTTTATTGGAAGTTTTGATATAAACTAAGAAAATGCACAAAAGTGCAACATTCTAAGCTGTTCCGTGGTCTGGAGGCTGTTAGTCCTGTGAGCCCCTTCACGCCTTCTGTGGGCTCTTAGACCTGAGCTCTGCATGACCTTGACTACTGAGAAATCACTAAAACCCTATAGGAGTGGTCATGATTATCGTTTCACTTGACAGTTGAGGGCTGAGGACCAGGGTGGTGAGGTAGCTTGTGTAAGATTCCCTGGTTGGTATAAGGCATGATGGGAGGATTTGAACCCAGCACTGTGGTTCGTGAGTTAAAAGTGGAGGAATCGGAAGTCCCATCGTCCCCCTTGCCTTTCTGACATTCTGATTTCATTAGGAGGCTTCTCACCAGTGTAGACCTTATGAGGCCAAATAGATCTTGAGATTGGGCTTTACCTGCCTGACGAGAATTTTAAAATATTGCAAGATATGATGGGTATTTTGGGGTCATGCAATTCTACTCTATGGGCTTTTAAAACTATTCTTTTCGTAAGAGGATTTTTTTTTTTGGTCTTTGTTTTTTAAACAGAAGTATAGGGTTAAAAGCTTTTATATTTATTTTTTTATTTTTAAATTTATTTTTATTTTTTACTTTGTTTATGTCAGTGTTATGCCTGCATGTGTGTAAATGCACCCATGTCATACAGTGACCTCGGCCTGCATGTGTGTAAATGCACCCGTGTCATCCAGTGCCCTCGGACGACAGAAGAGGGTGTCAGATCCCTTGGAACTGAAGTTGTAGATGGTTGTTAGCCGTCATGTGGGTGCTGGGATTCAAACCCGGTTTTTCTGCTAGAACAGCCAGTGTTCTTAACCACTGAGCCATCTCTCCAGCCCCTTATTTTGGTTTTCTGAGACAGGGTCGCATTCTATAGCTTAGATGGCCTGGAACTCATCCTGTAGCCCATGCTAGCCTTAAATTCATGGTAATTCTCCTGCATCAGTCCTCTAAGTGCTGGGATTGTGGGTATGAGTCACCATGCCTGGCTCTTCTCTGTTTTCTTTCTCTTCATCCTCCTCCTCCTCCTCCTCCCTCTTCTCCCCCTCCTCTTCCTCCTCTTCCTCCTCCTCCATTTCCAAAGAGTATTGAGAGGAAATATGTTTAAGGGAGAAGGAATATTCCATTCTGAAAAACTGAGTTTGCTGTGCCAGTAGACAAACTGTGGACAGAGAGGAAGAAATCTAAGTGGAAACAGGTTGAGGAGCTTGGGAGAGCGAGGTAGAAGCTGGAGGAGGCTGAGTGGGCTGCCAGATCTGCAGAAGTGATTGCACGATGGGAGGGGAGAAGGGGGTGCAGCTGAGGGGATGGGAAAGGCCAACCAGGGCACCCAGGGCAAGCCCTTAGACACTGGAGATTGAATAACCAAAGGACTAGAGAGAGACCAGACGGGAGCCAGGTGTCACAGCACTGGGGAGGAGTGGGTGGGGAGCAGAGCTGAAGGTATGTGGAAAGGGCCTGGGGTTGCAGGCAGAGGCTGAAGCCCTTGCTCAACCACTTGTGAGCTGTGAGCCTCAGCTGGTTCACAAGCACTCTCCTTTCTTGCAAGACAGGGTAATACCTCGAGTTGTCCTAACTGAAACAGTTGGAGCAGGTATTCTCCCAATAGTGCTTTGAATTCATTCTTTCCAATAAAAAACACACAGCAGGGAAGCTTTGCTGTCATTACTTATATTTCTTTGTTTTCATTTTTATTTTATGTGTATGAGTGTTTTGCCTGCATGTGTGTTGGTGCCATGATGTGTACACAGTGCCCACAGAGGGCATCAGATCCTTTGGAATTAGAGTTAAGGACAGGTGTTAGCTGCCATGTAGGTGCTGGGAACTAAACCTGGGTCCTATGCAAGAGCAGCCAGTGCTCTTAACCACTGAACCGTCTCTACCCATTTATGTTTCTTATATGTGTACAAGGAATTATATTGCAAAATGTGTTTTTTACTTTTCAATTTAATTTTTAGCATAGAAAATAATGGTTTCCATTGTAACATTTTCAGTTATTTAAAGATTAATTATTTTATTTGTGTGTGTGTGTGCCTGTGTGAGTTTATGTACACCACGTGCATGTATGTGCCCACTGAAGGCAGAAGAAAGCGCTGATCCCCTTCAGTTAGACATGAGTGTAAGCCACTTGATGTGGATAGGGAGCCCAATTTGGGGCCTCTGCAAGAACAGCACACACTCAGCTACTGACCCATCTCACCAGCCTCTCATGACAGTTTCATACACAGATGATATTCTACCTTGTTCGTGTCCCCCAAACTACTCTCTCCGTATATCTGCTGCTCCCTCTAACAGCTCCTCTGTTCATGCCCCATGTGTGTGTGTGTATTCTGTAAATAAAAGAGGTATTTCTCTCCTACCACCTCTTTTGTTAACTTCCCTCCTCTCCTTTTAGACCATTTCTCCTCCTCGTCTGTAGTAAGAAGTTGAAGGGTTAGCGTTTTTTAAATCATTTGATTCATGAAAAGTATGCTGCCTTTTGCCTATTCTCTTATGAAAAAAACCTCTCAGAATCTGAATATAATTCACTCTGTCTTTCAAGTTGAATAGTTTAAGCACCTGCTGTGTACCCAGCTTCTTTTTCGTCATCCATCCTGAGACTCTGTTGTGCAGTTCTTAGGCTGTTTGGTAATCTGACTTTCTCTAGGCACGACTAGATATTCTCATCAACACCAGAACTTCCAGTTTTTATAGCATCTGTGATTTTTCTAGTATATTCCACTGAAAATACTACATTTTATATTTTATTTCTGTGAGAAGCAAACTTACTATTTTTTTATTACATTTAATTATTTTGGGGGGCCGTGCATGTGGAAGTCAGAGGACAGCTGTGGGAGTAGATTCTCTCCTACCATGAGGGGCTCAGGAATCAAATTCAGGTTATCAGGCTTAGCCACAAGCATCTTTACCCACGGAGCCATCTCAGTGGCTCACAAACTTTTCAAATCATTGTATTTAGGTTTGATTAACATATAGAGCACTGTATGTATTTAACATATTTTTGCTTTTATTTATTTATGGGTGTGTATGTGTGCACACTGTAACTCACATGTGGAGGTGAGAAACCAGCTGGAGAGAGTGAGTTCTCTCCTTTCATCATGTGGATTCTGGGGCCGAACTCTGGTCCTCAGCCTTGGGAGCAAGTACTTTTACCTGCTGAGCCAACTCTCCAGCCACCCCTCCCCCAAGTTATATATACATGTAAACATATAAAATGTGTGCAACTTTATGAGTGTGGAGATAAGGAGACAGTTCTATGATGAGATCCTCATCTTCACATCCACCTTCTTTACTTATTAGTGGTAAAATTACTGTTTTTATTGGGACACATTCATGTTTTTTCCCCAGAAAATACTATTTGGAATAAAATTAATTTTTTCATGTTTTGACCTCATTTAATATGTTGACTTCTTTACTTCTGTTAGAAAAACATTATGATAGTTTTCTCATCCTTTTTATTAGGGTCGCACATTACGAAAAATACTCTTGAACCGGTACCTCAAAGGCGATTACGGGGTCGGCATGAATGGACACCTAGTGGGAACCCACTCCAAGACTTCGCAAGGAGGAGGTGAGGCTGTTCCCGATTCTCCTGCTCAGGATTCGTGACGTACTATGTGGGTGTTCTGCCAGTGTTTTACTTCTGTGACACAAGTAGAAAATATTCACTTAAAAAGCACCAGTAAGAATCCTTTATGTGATTTGGAGTCATGAAGCAATGGGTTTAAACATTGCAATTAATTTTGCCTTGTGACTTTGGAAGAAGACTTTGTTACAGCTTTTTGATATGCACATTCAGGACATATGGCTAGTTTTCTTTTTCTGGATTATAAAATTTAGTAACTGAACTACAGGTGTCAGATGTTTAATTAAAATTCCCATTTTTAATAAATATTTTATAAGTTTAACTCATGTTTCTATTATACTTAGGCGTGTAGAGGGAGAAAAAGTTTCAATGGTAAATACTGTTATGTTGAAGAATTTGAAAACATTTTATGCTGTTTAAAACAGTGTCTGTAGGGGCTGGAGAGGTGGCCCAGCAGTTAAGAGTACCGACTGCTCTTACAGAGGACCCAGGTTTGGTTCCCAGAGCCTGCATGGAGGCTAACAACCATCCGTAACTCCAGTTCTAGGGGATCTGACACCCTCTTTTGGCTTCTGCAGGCATTGTATGTACTTGGTGCCCATACAGACGCACGCACGCACACACACACACACACACACACACACACACACACTAAAAAAGCCCTGAAGGCCAGTGTCTGCAGTGGAGGTTTATTCACAGATTCTCCCCTCACCACAGCAGGCTTCTCTGGACAGGACTCAGACAAGACGGGAATTTCAGTGTCCGATATCCAGTGTCTGTTGGACAAAGAAGGCGCCTCCGAACTTGTCATTGATGTCATCGTGAACACCAAAAACGACAGGATCTTCTCCGAAGGCATCTTGCTGGGCATTGCCCTGCTCGAAGGAGGAAACACACAAACCCAGGTTCTTCTCTGTCTCTCACAGACATTTGTTCTTTGCATGTCTTACTCACTTGGCATAGAAATGGGGGACATAATGCTTTTCTTCTGGTTTCTCATTGGTGAATCATATTCTACTTGTGAATTTATTTGATTTGCTGTAGAACTTGCAGGGCTTCCCCATTATTTTATAGGCAGAATGTCTTTAGAATCCCTGCCCTGCACTGTGGCAGGAATCCCTCTGCAGTGAGTGTTGTGCTGCTGTGCACACCAAGGATCCGACCACCACATCTAGCCAGCACTCATGACCGTCTGGGACTCCCTCCAGGCTTTCCAAGTGTATTAATCAGGGTTTTCAAAAGGAAATTCCATATATAGATATGATCAAGTTTGTATAGTGGGATTTGTTAGTTGGCTTACAGAATAGCGTCCAAGTAATCCAACAATGGCTGTGCCACACTGGACAGACTGAGAATCGGAATTGGGTACTTGCTCAGTCCATGAGGCTGGATGTCTCAACCTGGAGCTGAAGGCCTGGAGGATTCCTGGATTCTGCTGGTCTCTAGTCTATGTTGGAAACTGAAGAAGCTGGTTCTAATATTGGCAGATGAATGCCATAGCAACAAGATAGATAAACTGTATCTGGTGATAGTGGAGGCAAACAGACACAAAGCAAAACCTCCTTTTATATGGGCTGATGTCAGAAGATGCTGCCTACATTTAGGGTGGGTCTTCCAGCTTCAAAGAATCCAATCAAGAAAGTCCCTCACATTTTAGTTAGTTCCAGATCCAGTAGAGCTGACAACCAAGGTCAGCCATCACACCTAGGTTCTTCCACAGCTGAAGGCCCAGTCTAAGCCTGCGTCTGAGCCCTGGGAACCAATACCAGACAGCACTCACTCCTCTCCTGGCTCACCGATGGGTAACTGGCACAGGACCAGGCCCCCTTATAGCAAGCTGAAGTCATACCTAATTCAAATCTGGGTATTTTGCTTTAAATAGCTATCAAAGATATTCAACAATAGGAACTTCACCGTAGGACAGACACCTCTAATAGCTGTGGGCTTTAGGAACAAAGGCCTCAGGACAGCAAAGCGCACCAACATGCACTGATGGTATTTCTTAGTGAGAATAGCCATGTTGAAAGCCCCCAGGACAGTTATGCATGCATTCCTCTGATGGGCACTGAGAGAGGTGATGGAGGGACTTGAGGGAGTTCTCTGGGAAACTGATGTCTTTTTTCACCTGTCAATTGGGGCTTTCCAAAGAAATTGTGTCAGAAGCTGTGTAGGATTAGCTATGGACTTACTCAGAGGGTAGAGTGGAGGATTTCTCCTTTGTCTCACGTAGTCCAGGCTGGCCTTGAACATGACATCTCTAGAAATGATTAGGACTACAGTACCTCCTAGATTTCTGTTTTTAGACCACTGAGGTCATCCCGCAGACCATCCTTCATCCCTCCTAGCATGTGGTTACCGATTGTGTCCTCACTTGGGCGGAGGAGAGCTGCAGGAGATCTGAGTCTCCACTTTGAAGTTCCCACCCATTGCTCCTTAGATCCATCTTTCAGTCTTATTTGCCTGATATTTCTGTGGATTGGTCACTAGCAAAATTCTGTTTTTCTGGAGCCTTTTCTGCTGGATCTCAGGATGCCATCTTTGCCAGCTTCTCTGCCTGCCTCTTTCCACCTCCCCTAGGCCTCCTGTGAGGGTTCTGCTTCCTCTGACTGACTCTTGAATCCTGGCACCTCCCAGGCTCCTTCAGACTCTTCTGTGATTGTTCCTAAACCTACTCTTTTCCATTTTGACTTCCACCCTGAGCTGCTTGTTCTAAACTCCATCAGGGAAGTCCTAGATGCTCCATCTATCTGGCTGTCTGCTAGAAATCTTTAGTGGCAGTATCTCACAAATACCTTACACATGATGTACCTGACCAGAATGTACTGTGGTTCCCCACACGCCCACTCGCCCCTCTGTTTCTGGCACTGTGCCTGTTCGGTTGTCTGACCAGAAATTAAAAGTCAGCCTTGACCTTGACTCCTCCTTTCCTGATAGCCCTTCATGACCGTGCGAGGTGATTCTTCCCTTTCCCATCTCTGGTTTCCATACACTGCTTTCAGTCCCCTACAAATCTCCTCTTTTAGCTCTTACTGGCATGAGACCAGAAGTCCAGGTTGTATCCTGTTCCAGCTCGGCCCCTCTCCAGACACCACGACCCCTTCTTGAATGATATTTTCTCCAGACTACGTTATGTCCCTGTTTCAGATCTCTCACCTGCCCAGTAAAGCCGGACACTCTACTGGAGCCCGTGAAATCCTTCATGACTGAAGCTTTTCAATTCTCCATCCTGCCTCTCCCATTCCATGTTCCCCTCCGTTGCCCCTGTACACCAGCTAAACCCTTTCCAGTCCATCAAGGCCATTACTGTCATGCTGTTCCCCTCTGTGAGGAGTCAGCTCAGTGGCCTTCCTCTTTGGTCCCATCCCACTGGGCAGCACTGACCGCTGCCTGTCCTTGCTGTGATGTGCACAGCCTCAGTAGCATTTTCCCCATTACCCTTTGTGGCTTCTGAAAGAAACCTTAGCACTTCCTCTGACTCTGTGCAGCTCCGTAAGGTACTTTCCCAAACATAAAACAGATCTTTAGAGAGAGAGATGCTATGCCTCTGATTAGCCTATGAAAGACACTTTTGGATGTCACCAAGTTGCTGTTCTGTATTGTAGAGCGTTGGTCATTAAAAGGTTTCATTTATATAGATAATCTAGTTCCAGTCTGCAGCACACAAGTTATGCAATCCTAGGCAAATCCCTCTCCTTCACACACAGCATCTCCTAATTTGTTAATCTACAAAATGTATATGGAACAAGAGCACTCTACTTATCACACCACTGGGCTGAAAATATTCATGATATGATAGGTGTAAAAGGACCCATAAATTGTAAAGCTTGGTCTTAACGGAGTCACAGCATTCCTGTGACTTCCTCCGTAACACGTCAGATCCTCCCTTCACCTTCCAGTCACACTAGAGGAAAAAGGTTAGAACTTAACTAACAGCTTAATTTATGGGACCATCTAGGTCTGTGGATGCTGCATTTATCCTTCAAGCCGTCAGAACCATCCTGCCTGCTTCATTGTGGTTGTCATGGCTACTGTGGCTCTTTTGACCTGCCTCTGTAAGAGGTTGCTAGCCCTCTGCTTAGGAACATCCTCTTAGGGATATGAAGCCTACCTCAAGGTCTGTGTAGACCTTGCATGTGTAGGAAATGGAACAGGTATCACTTCGAGGCCTGACACCATTGGAATCTTGTCTAGCGTCTCCGGCCGATGGGTCCTGGCTACAGGCACTCCTTTAGGAAAGCATTTCTCGAAGAGTCAATCTCCCAAACTTGCCTGATCAGATTTTCTTATTTGGGGATATGGCCAGTTTAGCTTGATCTTATAGTCATGTGGGTTTGAGAGTTTTTTTCACACTGTCTGTAACCTGTATAAAACTTTCATTAGAGAAATGTTATCTTTATTGATTTTTACTATCTTTCACTTATATGTACATTTTTATATTATAATCTTACTCTTGATAGCTTAAAATTTCCCCACCCACTTTAAATTATGTCTCCTCTGGAGTATATCACCTCTCCTGTGACAGCTTCTGGATTCTTCAGTAAGGTTTGGGTCAGGGTTAAACTTAGGGTTAGTGTTAGGGATAGATTTAAGTTTACGTTTAAGTTTCGGATTAGGGTTAGTTTCAGTGTTAGGTTTAGGGTTAGGTGTAGTGTAAACATGAGATTTAGGGTTAAATTTAGAGTTAGGGTTAGAGTTAGGATTAGGGTTAGGTTACATTATTGTTAGGGTTAGGCTTACGCTTAGAGCTAAGAACAGGGTTAGTTTTAGAATTAGAGTTAGGGTTAGTTTCAGTGTTGTTGATTCAGTGCATGATTTTGTAATACTATGAGACTCAAAGAGTTATTTCCGTTCACCAACTTACGGGAGAAGGACTGTGTTTGCTCTCTCTTTTTGTTTTATCCCTAGCAATAGCATAGGACCTGACACATAGTAGGCTTTCATTAGATATGTTGATTCAGTGCATGATTTTGTAATACTATGAGACTCAAAGAGTTATTTCCGTTCACCAACTTACGGTAATCTTTTACAATTTAAAAAACGTACTTATGGGAAGGGTATATCAAGTAGTACATAACGTGTTAGATTTTAACAGAAATTACCAAGTAAATACTAGCTAATATTAGTACCTATCACATGGTACAAGAGGCCAAAAGGCCATGCGTTTGTGAAATGACACATTAAGTGTATGATTTTATGTGTAATGCCTGTGTTTATTTCAAGCACAAAACCCCATTTTTCCTCCCCGTAGGTACTGATATCTTAAACCATTCTCTTCTTGTAGTATTCCTTCTACCAACAGTTACACGAGCAAAAAAAGTCAGAAAAATTCTTCAAAGTTCTCTATGATCGAATGAAGGCTGCTCAGAAGGAGATCAGATCCACAGTGACGGTTCACACCACAGACTTAGGGAGCAAGAAGAGAGAAGAGGGCAGTGACCTCGTGCCGTCTGGGCCTCGGGTGAGAGGTAAGGAGTCACCTGGGTGTGGGGACAGTTGAGGGAGAGAAGGTGATGGGGCATTGGTACTGCACATCTTTGTCATCTTCTCTATTGAGATTTAATCATCCCTAATGTGTTTCTGAGTGTGGACTTCCATCTATATAGAGTTTGATCCTGGTCCTGACCCTAAAACAGTCCTGCAGGACCAATCCCAAATGAAGCTTAATTGGTGTGAAATAACCAGCAAGATGAGACATACTTGATTTCATTGTGCTGGCGGAAAAGAAACCAAACCCAAGTGAGCGTGGACATTTGACTTTGAGGACAGAATTTATAGAGTATTTTTTTGTATTTGAGATAACCCAATTACCTGCTAGTTAAACACAAGTCATGGAGATGTTAGCGTTTTGACATTTGTCAAGTTTGTTTTCCTATGAGATGTGTGGAAACTCAGATGACTGTGCACACACCTGTGTGTCTTTCTTGACATATACCGTTTTATGTGTTTGTGTGTGTGTGTGTGTGCACGCGCATGTGTGCATGCATGTGGGCGTGCGTGTTTCTGTGTGTGTGCGCATGTGTGTGTGTGTTTGCGTGTGTGTACGTGTGTGTGTCTGCCATGTGTGTGGGTGTCCATAGAGACCAGAAAAGGGCATCAGATTCCCTGGAGCTGGAGTTACAGGAGGTTATGAGCGCCCCAATATGGGTGCTAGGAACTGAACTCAGTCCTTTGGCAAAGCTGCAAGCACTCTTAACCGCTGAGCCATCTCTCTAGCCCTTTGCCATATACCTGTGAGTTCATTTATGCATGTGTGCACCATGTCTTTGTGATATGTTTATATATCAGAAAATTCTGAAATTGACGAAGCATTCAGACCTTTTCTAATGAAAGGATGCAAATGTTAACTTTTTAGCTGTCGTCTCACATCCTCCTTAGGAAATTGTTGTCCCTCTTTTTAATGCAGCTGCTGGAAAATCTGAGTCGTTGTTCTCTTTAGCCCAAGGAAATTAGTTCAGAAACATAACAGCAGTACTTGATTTTCAGTGAGAGACTCAACGCTGCATTTGAAGGAGGGGGTGAAAGGGCAGTTAACAGAGGCGTCTTCAGCAACGTCCAAAGCGTACTGTGTGTATAGAAGAGAAATGGACCCAGAAATAGACATGATGTGCCCGGGACCAGAAGCAGGAAGCACGGAGGAAAAATCCGCAGAGGAAGTGACCATGAGTCCTGCCATCACAATCATGCGGCCCATCCTAAGGTTTCTCCAGTTACTTTGTGAGAATCACAACCGGGAGCTGCAGGTATTTCCTCTGCTGTGTGGAAGTTGAGAATGTAGCCTGTGGTTGTGAGCAATTAAATTCAGACTGAATTAAATTCTCCTCTCTGTGGAGAACAGGCGAAATCACCAACAAAGGCCCTGTGGAAATGGGAGGGAAGCTTTTTATTTGCTTGTTTTTAAAAATACTTCCTTTATTATTTTTATTTTAAGTGTATAAATGTGTTGCCTGCCTGTGTGTAAGTGCATCTGTGTCGTGCAATGCCCGCAGAGGTCAGAAGAGGGCGTTGGATCCCCTGGAACTGGAGTTACAGACAGTTGTTAGCCCCCATGTGGGTGCTGGGAACTGAACCCAGGGTCTCTGCAAGAGCAGCCAGTGCTCTAACCACTGAGCATCTCACCAGCTCCTGGGAGGAAGGTTTTTATCAGTAAGAAAATGAGAGGATGCTTTCATTGTGCATGAAAAACATCAAATTCACATACCTCCATTCTGTGCGTCCACAGCTCGAATCTTTTTGGCCCCTGTGGCCGCCATTGATGCCCAGTGCTGTGGTGTTTGTTCAGGGAGCCCACACTTGTCTCTCACCGTTTTAGACTCAGGCGTTTTCATCGTTCCCAGTTTATTTTTATTAGCAAAGATGTTGAATGTATTTTATGTCTTTATTAGGACAAAGTGGTTTTTGTTGTGTGTTTGTTTATAACAGTGAAAATCGCTTTGCAAATGAATGTTGTCCATTACTACCTTTATGGCCCTGACCGCTCTGTCAGACAGATGAGCTAGGGGTGCCTTGGGATTTTGGCCACATCTTTTGCATAGTTTGTACACGTTTCTTATGCTACCATGACAAAGCCACATGGAAGGAGAAAGCCTTGATTGACTTGAATGCTGGTGAGTGAGGATTCTGACTTGAAGAGTTTCCTTCTGGCAGGCTACTTCCCAGAAGGACACACCTCACCGTGCCAGCCCCCACCGTGCAGTTAGCTGGCATACTTGGTGAAAAGATTTTATTAAGGAATTATACTGAAACTGGCTATGGTTTTTGCAGTGGGATCGTCTGGAAACTGGCTCCAAGCTGGCTTTTTCACCCTGAGCAGCAAGTTTCCCATGTCTGTAAGAGCGCCTGTCCACACAGAGGACAGCAAAGTATTTGCTACTGTGTCCAGAATGCAAGGCTTCTGAAGGGCAGGAGATGATAGTAGGCTCAGATGTAGGGCCACTGAGGCTCAGGAACAAATGACCGGGAGCCATGACTCTTGTGGACTAGCCCGCTACTGCTTAGATGGAGTGTGGGCTGGAAAAGTCTAGAAATTTTCCTTCCAGAGGCAGGAGACAAGGGTGTACGTGTATGTACCTGTTCTAACCCATCCGCTGACCATCCAGGAAACAGGGAAACAGTGCATAATAGATAATACAGCACTGTGTTGTATGATTTACTCATGAGCATGTCGTTCAAATAATGTAGAAAGTCCTACTTTCACAATAGTTTTGTTTTAATGTGAACAAATATTAAAAGTAGAAAGTCCTACTTTCACAATAGTTTTGTTTTAATGTGAACAAATATTAAAAATAAATTCAAATAAACTCAATTGATATATGTAAGTACATTAAGATAAGATTTAAAATCCTCTCTTTCTTTATTCTGTCTCTAGCCCCAGTCCCTAAAGGAAGTGGACTATTAACAGGTTGCGCCCTCTAGAAATTTTTGTGCACATATTAACGTATTGGTGGGTGCACAGCAACCTGTTAAAAAAGTCAATGTACGTCATGTAATACCTTTTTGCTTCTTTTGTTATCAGTGTAACTTGTCGCTAAGTTACTGTGTGTGTGTGTGTGTGTGTATGTGTGTGTGTGTGTGCGTGTGTAAGTCCTGCCTTGTGTATTTTTGCAAAATTCCAATATCTGAGATGTGGATAGTCACTGAACCTGTCACGTTGCCATGGAATAAGGTTCCAATATCTGCTCTAGCTCTTTTTGCGGTACAAGTTGGCATACGGTGACTCTTATGTACGTATACACATAGCTTTGAGTTGTTGGTAGAAGTGGAATTGTTTACTGAAAACCTTAATGATGCTTCCAAGTTCCTGTCTACTGTGGCTTTCTAACCAATGAGCAGAAACATCCAGTGCCTGCAGGGGATTGCTTGTTTGAAATTTTGATTGTTTCTCCTCCAGAGACATTTGTTTTCTCTCACTTTTTCCGTCATCATCTTTGTCCTCCATTTACAGATTTAAAGTAACGGTCTTGAGCAGAGTATATTATGACTTCTTCTGAGACAGATGCTTATGCTAAAACCAAAGGGCCCCTCCCATTTAAGAGAAATTTATTGTGTCAACATTTAAAAATTTTATTACTTTTAAAATTAATTTTAAAAATTAGGTGGAAAAAATAATGGGTTTCATTTTGACGTTTCATACATATATACCACCTGTCTTCCTAGTCCCTGCCGTCCGTTACCCTCACCACTCCTCACTGGCTCACTCCTCCCCACAAGTAGTTCCTGTTTCTTATAAGCACCAAATTCCTTATAAGCACCAAATTCCAATGGGGGATCTTACTGAGCTACTCACACAGACACAGACACACACACAGACACACAGACACGCACACACACACACACAGACACAGACACGCACAGACACAGACACACACACACACACACACACACACAACTGAAAATGATTAGCTCAGGTTTTTTTCAATCCTTCAGTTATATTTTCTTTTGCTCCCAGAACTTTCTGAGGAATCAAAACAACAAAACAAATTACAACCTCGTCTGTGAGACCCTTCAGTTTTTGGACTGCATCTGTGGAAGTACCACGGGTGGGCTGGGTCTCCTGGGACTCTACATCAACGAGAAGAACGTATCTCTAGTCAACCAGACCCTGGAGAGCTTGACCGAGTACTGCCAGGGCCCATGCCATGAAAACCAGGTAACGGGGACTTCAGCGCTGTGTGCAACCCCAGCCGCAATTGGCACAGTGCACAGGCTGGGCGTGGAGCCAGGCTTTGTCTACCTGTGAAAGAGCTTTCATCTTGCGTTTTCCCTTTCTACAAAGCCTGAATTGTAGACTAGCGAGTACTGTGCCATATTTTTAATTCCATTGTCAACGAATTCGCATGAAAATATTTAAGATAAAAATCAGTTTACTGAAAAATAGGGTAAAAATGTATTTCTTCCCCAAGGCTCAGCTTTCCTTTAGTGAGTCTTGCAGGATCTCTGGAGTGTGCTTGCCTTGGCTTTGAGTCCACTGCCACATAGAGGGTGTATGATCTCCAGTACGTGAACACTAAGCCTATGCAGTAGGATTTCCTGCTCCCATTTTGCTGATAAGTAGGTTCTGACTCAGGTTAGGTGCCTCAGAGTGCCACAGTTTGCAAGTGGTAGAGCCATTCTTAAAACTCAGGACTAGAACTCACCATGTAGACCAGGCTGGCCTTGATCTCACAGAGATCCCCCTGCCTCAGCCTCCTGAGTGCTGGGATTACAGACGTGTGCCACCACTGGTGCCTGGTATAAAACTGAGAACTCTCATTCCCAGCCCAAAGAGCATACTCTTTGGAGGCTGGTACATGTGCAGGAGACACAGCATTCAGCTCTGCCTTCTAGAGTGCTCATCTCTGATTCCTTTGCTTGGCTCTCAGGACACGTTGTGGGAGAAGACAGAACACTTTGGGGAGTCAAGGGAGAAAATGCCACCCTGACATGTTGACAAATGTTCAACATCCATGAATGGTTGTAGAGTTACCAGCACAGGCACGGTGCACCCTGGGAGAAAGAATCTTTAAGTCCTGAACATTTCCGGATATAAAATTTTAAGACACAATTGAAAGTAAACATTGATCGTTGCTGTAGAAAGCAAATACAAGAAAATTAATTGCAAATTATGATATATCCACACACATATAGTATCCCTCTGCACACGTCTGAACACATACATGCGGTATACATACATCTGTAGGCCCATATACTAGAAATATAATTTATTATAAGGGCTTTTTTTTTTCTTTTCTCTGTGACGTGTCTATGACACACTGAAAGAATTTGTGGATTTTTTTCTCTCTTTATTTTTTGAGATTATATTTTAGTTTTCTAGAGAATTGATATGAGACGACCTTAACTGTTGATTTAAATTTAAGGCAAAGTATACATATTCAGAGGTTTGAGTTTGCTGATAAAACTCTATCAATAATAGAAAATAGCTACATTATATATCTCTTTTCCTGTTTTGCTAGTTCATGGAAAGTCTGTCACACTGTTCCCCATTTTGTGGTATTAGAATGAAATTGAGTTTTAAAAGAAATTTAATAAAACCAATAATAAAATAGATAATTCCCCATGCTCTAAGACTGCATGGAAGGAAAGGCGATTTTTAAATAGAGTCTGGAAATGATTTGCAGATCGATTCCCTTGGAGTTCGACAACTATTTTAATGAGCAGAAAAGACTCAGGAAATATTTCAGAAATCGATGGAACCACATTTCCTCTCCGGAAATGTCCTTGTGTGAAGGAAACACAAGGCCAAGCTAAGCAGTCATGTGGGCTTGTTTGACCGTCTCTTGTGTAGCTCACCGGGTTTCAATTTCTCAGACTGTCACAGTACACACAGTACATAAATGTGGCCTCGAGCTGCTGATTTTAAGTTCGATAAAAGGAGAGACCTCTCCGTTAAAAACATGCAGATTCATCCCTGGGGATATGTATTAGTTACTTCTCTGTTGCTGTGATAAACACCAGGACCAAAGGTAACTTAGAGAAGAAAGTTCATTTTGGCTTACAGTTCCAGAGGGGGCCGTCCATAATTGCAGGGGAGGCATGGCCAAGCTCTGCCAGAGCAGGAAGCTGAAAGATCACATCTTCAACAGCAAAGGGAAGCAGAACAAACTGGAATTGGGGGAGGCAGGAAACGCAGCCGGCTCTCAGGATGTACCTCCTCCAGCATGGCTGCACCTCTTAGAAGTTCCATAACTTCCCCAACTGGGGACCAAGTATTTAAATCCTCAGTCTACAGGAGACATTCTCATTCAAACCACCACATTCCACTCCCTGGCCCCATAGGCATGTGGTCATATCATAATGCAAAATGCATTTAGTTCAGTTTCAAAGTCCCCACAGTCTTTAACAGTTCAGCACTACTCAAAAGCCCAGTGTTTCTTCCAAGACTTAGGGAAATCCCTTTAACTGTGACCTCCCTTGTTAAAAAAAAAAAAAAAAAAAGTAAGTACTTCCAATGTACAGTGGCACAGAAGATGTAGGATATTTCCAATTTTTCTCCAGTCAAGATCTGGCTATATATCACCCAAGTTCAAGAATCCTGCTGAACTTTTCCCTCAGTCACCTTTATTGACAGTGGGCCCCAAACTTCAGGAACCCCCCCCACCTCTTCAGTCTTTGCTGCCCAGCACATGCAGCCACTCCTGGATCACCAATAAGTTGATGGACTTCATGAGCTTTGTAAAATTCACTTACAGTTCTCCCTTTTTTGTGTTCTTATAGGCTAGGTTATACCGTAAAAATCTCAGTTTAGCTGGGTGTGGTGGCGCACGCCTGTAGTCCCAGCACTTGGGAGGCAGAGGCAGGTGGATCTCTGTGAGTTCAAGGCCAGCCTGGTCTACATAGTGAGTTCCAGGACAGCTGGGGCTACAGGGAGACCCTGCTTCAAAAAGACCAAAAAAAGAAAAAAAAAAAATCTCAGTTTTAAGGAGTTTCTGCAAGTCTCCCCTGAACATGTTGACTTGGAAGGATTTTAGTTTTCCCAGTTGTTGAAATATTGCAGTTCTTCCTGTTACTAGATAGGTACTTTGCCTGGTGAGTAAGTGCTCTGTGTTCAGGAGCATTTACAAATACCAGTCAGTTAATAGACCCTGCACAAAAGAGCAAGTCAAATGCTCTAAGTGTGTTATTTTATTTTATTTTTTGAGACAGGGTCTCACGATGTAGTTAGTCCTGGCTGACTTGGAACTCACTATGTAGATCAGGCTGACCTCAAACTCACAGAGATCCACTTGCCTCTGCCTCCTGAGTGCTAGGATTAAAGGCGTGTGCCACCACACCCACCATTTTATGCTTTATTACTTCTCATGTTGTTAAGTTGTAAACAGAATGCCATTTCAGAAATATTTCCTTTTCTAGACCTGTATCGCTACACATGAATCGAACGGTATTGACATCATCATTGCTTTGATTGTGAACGACATCAACCCTCTTGGCAAATACCGGATGGAACTGGTGCTGCAGCTGAAGGTAGTGTGGCCATCCCTCTCTGTCACCCTAGCCTGGTCAGTGAACTCTAGGCCAATGAAAGTCTCTACCTCAGAACATAAGGTGGCCAGTGTGCTTGAGGAGTGACAGTCGAGTTGTCCTCTGCCTCCACAGGCACCTGCGCACGTATCCAGCCCCCCCCACCACCAAAAACAAAATCAATCCTGTGGTTCCCTTCCCTTTCTCTGTAAAGCTAAGCTGATCCAGTATCATAGAAAATTAAGTTGAACTCTGTACAGATAAAGTGACCCAGGAGAATTTGAAAGGCTATTTTTAATACCATGAATTATACCCATGTCCTACTCGTGTGAAGATTATGTTAGCGCTTAGTAAGCAGACTCCTTTAACAGAAGAGACGAATTTGTGTTTTTACGCTTTTATTTGTGTGAGCTCTGAGTCTCCCATCACCTTAGGATGAGGTGACCCTTACCGGCCTCATCCCTGTGCGCTTTGCTTTGGTTAGCGAGCCTAGCCGGGCAGATCCGACAGTCAGCTTAATTGAAGGCACAAAGGATTTTCCACTTTACTTGAAATGTATCTGCAACCATAATTCATAAAGACACAGATACAAAGGTCTCCATCTTTGCTATTTGAACTCCTTCATTTATCTAAAGACTATACCTTTAAATGTCATTTGTCAATAATACAACCCAGTGGGGAAGGTAATAAATAGCTTATCAATTTAACACAAGGTATAGGCTTACAAATTACTTACAAATCCAGATCTATGCAAAAAAATTAAATACCCAATTCAACAGCACAAAAATACTAGGTATTCAAATCAAATACATTTAAAA